AGAGGTGTTAGAGCTGGAGACAGAGTAGCCTGGGCTTTGCTTTTATTCCTCCCGTTGTGAACAAGGTGTGTGACCTTGGGGACACACTCACTTGCCTTGATTTCTGTCTTGAATCAAGTCATGTAAACTAGATGGGGATGTTTTTAAAATCAGAAATTTCAGTGGACTTGGAGACATTCAGAGAAAGTACACTTACTGATATTGAAATTAATGTAGTTTAAGTCTTTAAATTCATATAGGAATAATATATTCTGTGTGAAATAGAAACAGTTCAGCATTTGCCATGCTCTAATTACAGTGAAGAGTGGTAGGTCTGTGGAACAAAGTGCTTTGTAACAGAGGGGGAGTACTTGTTCTCAGTTCTTTAAATCTGTACAAGTGGAGACATGTCTGGTGCTTCAGCTGAACGACAGTCTCAGATGCCCAGCAAATGGATCCACTGCAGAAATTTAGAGTACGTGAACATTTTTGGGGTAATTTTTTTCCTGTCATTATAATGTGAATCATGGTTTGTTTGAGAAAGCCACAACAATTGCAGTTACTTCAGGATTAGGTAAATTAATAAAATAGGAAAAACTGCCAGTTCTGCATAGCCCCACATTTAGAAAAGGTCTAAAATTTGTGGGGTATTTTGTGTGTGTGTGTGTGTTTGTAAGAAAAGAAACATATTTAATCACTTCTCTTTGTTTCTTAATCCCTTCCTTTCCAAAAGCTCTCCATCTGATATGAAACTGCAGTAGCTACTGCATTTTGCAGAACTGAAAATACAGCTTTTAGGCTGAGTATGTATCAGCTTGGTGACAACTTGTCCTGTGGGGCCAGTTGTGCCAGTTCTTGTTGTTAAGGTCCTAAACAAGGAAACTCCATTTGTAGCCTGTCAGTGTCACCACCAGTGAGGTTTTGCTGTCAGTGACCTTTAAAGGGGAAGTAGGAACCAGACACAGTGAGTGAAGCAGCAGCAACAGCAGCGGCAGCATGAAGCCTCTTAGGCTGGTAAGTGCCAAAGTCTCTCTTGGAAATGCAACACAACCTTCTTGGACACTTAGATGCTTAGGGGCATTTCATCCTATAAGCTTATAAAGCCCTAAATGGGTATTTTTAATGCCCATGCCTCAAATCCATTTTGTAGTATACTATGCTGAATTTTCAGCACTGGCACGTTGGAGGAATTAATTCTCTTAGGAGATTGTGTTGAAGAGTTTTTAACCCACAGCTCATTGTGCCTTTCTGAACCTTAAGCTTGTGTAGGAATGCACCTAGATTACATAAAATGATGACTGGTTTTCTAGGAAAATGTTACCTCCAAAAAAAATCACCTCAAACTCATTTCCCTTCTCTGTTTCCTTACTTTAGATTGTTTTATACTGTATTATGGGGTGTGGTTTTTATATAATTTTTTGAATTTGAATCTAGCAGCTTTTAGTGCTTAATCAGGACACAGATGATTCAGATAAAAATGTTTATCCAAATGTGATTTAGTGAAGTAAATTGATAATTACAATTTTATTTTGCCTATGGTTTGTCTATGATAAAATGTTCTCTTTGCCATTTAGAGAAGGCCTAAATAAGTATGTAAATAAGTCTCCCTGCGAGATGTAACATTTGATAGTCGTACTTTGCTAACACCCGGGAAGCAGTCTGAGCATTGTGGGTCATAACTAGTGCTCAGCTCATGAATCCTGGAAGACTGAAAATTAGCAGTTTGGTAACAGTCCCCAAACTCATCAGACAAAACTATCATTGAGTTTTGGGAGAGGTTTTGTGGTAAGAGACAGACCTCTAGCTGCAAGGAACCAGTAGTGAGGGAGCAACGGGGTTGCTGGAAAAGCATTTACAAACCCTGTGGAAGAAGAACTGCAGCTAAGGTTTGATAGCTGTTCCTGTTCCAGAGGCCTCGCGACTTGGCTTGTAGCTTAGCTCTGCTGCAGAAGGTGCTTTTCTAGGTGAAATTTCTGATACTGAATGTCTGCTTAGGCTGTGACTTTTTATTTTCTTCACTTGCATTTTTAAGAGACAGAGCCAAAGCAGACGATGTTCTATTACTAGCAGAGGTGATGTGTGTTGTACTTTTAAATATTTATAAACCTCTTCTACACATCTGCTGTTCAATTTTCCATCTCAAGCTTTTACTTAAATTTGATAGGAATGCTCTTCCTGTCAAGACACTTTAAAAAGTTAGTAAAAAGTGGACTTGATTGACAGTCATAAGATACAGAAAATCTGTCAGTTGTGTGAGTTTATATGTGTTGGAGGCTTTAGAGTGGTCTTTTCTGAGCACGTATGTGCACGCAGTACAGATTTTTGGTCTGGTTGTCCTTGTGGAGTTGGTTGTGCTAACTAGGCCAGACTGGTAAAAGAGAATGGTAACTGGGAAGTATGTAATTAAGTTTGCAGACTTGTCTCATTAACTTTTCTGTCTCAGTCTGAAGAGCTGTTTCTTGGTGTGAATTTGCATAAAACATTTCCTGGCTGAGAAGTGTCTGAAAAGGCCCTCAGTCTGCTGGTTACAGCATTACCCCGTGACTGGAGCTCAAGCCACCAGTCTTCTGTAGCAGTTTCTGTAACATGTGTAGCTTTTCTGTTTCTCAGGGGATTTTTTTCCCTCAGTGGGAGATCACTTGTCCTACCTCACAGGAATCTTGCATTTTCTAAACATGAAGTGAGTTCCTCAGGTGATATGATGATGATGATGAACTTCACCCGGTTCCTGTTGAACATAGTTCCCATAGAAATAATGATAGTGGCTGTAGAGAAATACAAATTACGTTACATAAGGGGAAAGAGGAGGCTTTTCTGGGATTTTCAGGGTTGTCTCTGCCAAAATAGCAATACAGCATTTATATGGCAGGTGAGCAGTGGAGTGGATTGCCACCAGGCAAGGCCCACCTCCCTCCATTAGCTTGAGTTTCTGGGTGTTGGAAGTGAAATCTGTTCCACCCTTGGTCCTCAGCTTTGCAGAAACCTGAGTTTTATGGTCTGGCTTTGAAGATGGAGTGCCTCTGATGCAGCATCATCATTATTATTTATTATTATTGTTATTATTATTTATTTGCACCTAAAGCCTCAGTTGTGGTTGGCTTTCTGCTGAGCTTGGAGCTCTATTCAGCTGCAGAGTTTCTAAACTGAATGAAAGTGGTGTGGTGAGGTTGACAAACAGGAGGAAAGGAGCTGGGAGAAGTTTGATGCAGAGAACACGTCACTAAGTAGGTCACTTTGGTGTGCAACTCAGTGGTCTGGAATCGCATGAAAGTTGCTTATACTTTTGTAATAACCAAAATAATTATAGGTTTTTTTCCATCTGCTGCTCGTCCTGGCTTCGACTGCTTTACCAAGTGCTTGTTGGTGCTTCAGATGAGGTGGAGCTTGAGGAGGAAGGTGCAGGAGAGAGATGTGATGTGTCTGGTCAGGATGCAGGTTTTGCCTTTGAAAGGGAAGGAGAGTGGTGCTCCTTGAGTGTATTTGGAAGATGGAGGCTTAGTGAAGGGTATTGTGGAGCATAGAAATATGTTTAAAATGAAGGGAAGATTCACTAGGACTGTTTTGAGAATTATTACTGTGTTATCTATGTAGTATTTGAAATGTTGATATACTGGGAGCACCCCTGCTATTTCTGAAGTACTAGGAGAACTTTATTAAATGCTAATTCCGAAAAAGAGGGGAAGGCAGTATAAAGGGTTTGCCATAGCTTTTAACTGAAGAATAAAAGTTTTCAAAAGACTTCTAACGGGTCAGATTTTACACAAGTCTCATGACTGTGTTAAGCATGCACCTTATGACAAGCTGCTTCTGTTCTCAGCACGCTCTGGGAGAAACTCCCCTTTTGCAGGTGGGAAACAGGGTCATCTTCACAAACCCTTTGCAACTTCTCTGTCAGAATAGAGACTTGAACCCAGGCTTCTCAAGGACTGGGTTGGTGCCATGATATCAATCAGGGGGATGCTCCCTCTCCTCAGTGAAAACAAAGCAATTTATTTAATCCTTAAAAAACCTCTTAAGTCACTTTGCAGAGAGTGTTTGGTGAGTTAAGTAATGTGTAACCTGTTGTGTGCAGTGTAATCGTAAGTTTGACCTCTGCTTTAAAAAACTGAAGTGTGTTGATAGTGATGTATTTTATATTGCCAGGCAAAATATGTTAGCAGCCTGCTCATCTTAAATTGTGGGGTTTTTTTCTTCCTCCTGCTGTTCTGGGAAAGGGAAAGACTGAAACATAGTTGTTCAAGAATTAAACTTCAAGGTATTTTTCTTGGAGTGCTTGATTTGGCAGATACCTGCTAAATGAAATGCTGCTTACAGACTGCTAATTTAAATGATGCTTACAAACTTTTTTTGCTTGCTGTCATTTAGATGTAAGATGTTTCTCTAATTTGCTAGTGTAGTTGTAGCTGAAATAAGAAGCTCTGCTAGCGCATTGAGAAGAGGTGGCAATAAATTCCATCCTACAAGTGACGTTACTTGGCTGACAGGGAAAATTTGCTTGTGAATGTTGGGACCCTCAGCAGGAAAAAGCTGTATTGCAGAGAAAGAGTGAAAAGACTACTAGTAGAGAGCTGCCCTTTGATCTTACTTCATCCAAATAAGACTTGAGAAATTAAGACATCTGACTTAGGATTTAAGGAGACTGTCAGAGTCTGAAGAGTTTGATGGTTGCCACTTAGACCTGTACTGATTGTTTCTGGCTCTGAAGCTGGTTTTTAATCTTAGGGGAAAATTCAGGGAACGGTAACTGATTAATAAAATTGCTTTCATACAGTGAACTCATGCAAATAGAAACCTCAGCTAAAGACAGAAAGAGTGCAGAAGTGAGTGCAACCAGCATCTCATGTTTATAACAGCCTTTATTTATGTGGGGAAAATGTAGCAAAGTTAAAAACTGCATTTGGCAGGAAGTTTTGGGGGCTTCATCTGCTCTTGAGGCCTAAACCAGCTGAAGATGCCCCTCTGCTCTGTGTGGCCTGAACTGACTCACTATATGGTTATTTATTCATCAAAATCCGCTTTAGAACCTGGATGGTTTGGGCTATGGAATGGAGGCAATGATTATATTCTCAAAGACGATTGGGAAAGAGGGAACAGATAAGGAGCCCAAACCATTAGTTTATATATAGCCTAGTGTTTAGCACTCAGCTCCATCCTTTGCATTAACCCCAGGTCTCCCTCCATCTATAAGAGTGCCATGTCATCAGCTGCCCTGCAGGAAGCTGGTCTGGGTGGCAGGACTCCCATCTTGTCTGGGGAAGCCAAGCTGCTTGCTGGGGAGTAATCCCCTCAGGAGAGCTGGTTTGCAACAAATGCTGCACATGTGACGGAGGGAGCCTCTGGAGCGATGGGGAGGTGGGCACGTGTGAATATGTGTGGTGAGGCCATGTCCTGCTTTGGTATGTGCCCCCTGGACCCTGCTGTGCCTTCTCTGAGGGCTGCTCTGTTCTAAACGCAGACACTGCCCTTGAATATACGGCTCCCACCCTTCCAAAGGGAACGAACGGTGTAACAGGCAGGGCACAAATGCATCCAAGGCTTTTAGGCATTTGCTTCTTGGCTGCACAAAGGGCCCAGAGTGCTGTAGGCCAGTCAGTAAGCTTCATCTAGCTGAGGGAGAGGACAAGGAGTGAACTGCCAGGGGGTATCCAACCTCCCCCTTACCTGTAAGGTAACGTGTCCACAGAAGTGTGTGCAAAGACGTGGCTGCTGCTGTTCTGATTGAGCAAAATCCCCTCCCTTCTTCCCTCCAAATGTGAATAGCTTTTTATCCTGTCTTGAAAAGAAAGCAGATGCAAATGTAGATCAGGTACTTTCAGCAGTTTGAGTGCTCTTTGAGGTTGGGAAAAAGAAATCTGATTAGGGTTACAGCTGTTTCATTTCCTGACAGATGCACAGAGTGTTGTGTGCTGGTGTAGTGCGGATGTGCACACACACAGCAGCCTCGTTTTGTATCAGTGGCATAACCACACAGCAGCCGGCATGTTCTGAACTCCTTGTCCTGGACACCCTGCCAAAATATGCTTTATGCAGAATTTTCTGTGAACCAGGCTGTAGTGTGTTTGTGTGTGTATGCGTGTGTGTATGCATGTGCATATAAATTTGTATGTGTTTTCTTCACTTGACAGGGCCTTTGTTGTTGAACTTTTTGTTGCTGGAGCGGGGCAGTGCGGTGTAAAGAAGCACAACTAATTATAAAGCACTTGTATAAAAAAATAATCTGCATTTGTACAAACAGTACTAGTAAAAGTGCCTGGGTAAGAGTACCACAAGTACCCAAATAAGCCCGACTCTGAATGGAGAACTCTCTTCTGTCTTGCAACCACAGCTAAAAAGTTGTTTATAACTGGATGCTGAGGTGGTGTAATTTTCTCTTCTAGGAACTTGGAATAAGAATTCCTAGACCACTGGGACACGGACCAAGCAGATTCATCCCTGAGAAGGAGGTGTGGTAGTATTTTCAAGTACATAGTGAACTTTATGCTTTTAAGGAATGTCCTTTTAGTAGTAGCCCACATTTGCTTTCAGGACAGCTGCTGAGCTGCAAAACATTTTCAGTAGTGATCACATTCAGTCCTGGGAAGACTTTGGCTACAGTTCTAGAACAGTAAGAGCCTTGGGGAGCTTTGGAATAGTTATGACTCCTCCCATACTGCTATCTAGCATGAGAGAAACCCAATACTGTTTCCTTGTGAACATCCGGATGTAATTTCCTACTGGTCCACAAGGTACCTGCCCCCCTGCTCTGAGACTGCTTTTTCTTGAGCTGCTGCTACCATTCTGAAGAATCTGAGAAGCTTCAGAGTGTCGTGGCTGAGCATTTCTGGTGCTTCTCTCCTGATTGTCTGGTAAGAGAATTTGGAGCAGAGGAAAAGTTAGTATTTATGCCTGTGGTTTTCTAGGAATTTTAGAATCTTAAGTTTCAATTTCCTTTTATTTCTCTCTCTTGTCATTTTAGCTAGCTTTTTACCTCTTTTCCTCTTTTATCCATAGTAAAAGTGATTATTCAGTTAAATTTTAGTTATAATGAACTAAGTTAGATCAAGCTTGGGTGTTCAGGAAAGTGAAGGTGAGACAGTTAAAAATTAGAAATCAGTGTTGTACTAGAGAAAGACCAAAGCCAAAAATCTTCTTTTGCTGTTATAACCATTTGCGACCTCCTAAATGAGAGGTATTTAAAAGGATTTTATGTGCCTGATGTGCACTAATGCCATTAATAGATTTATAATATAATTCCTTTCACTCGGAGCCTCCGAGCGCTGTGGTAATACATTTATTTATTGTTTCATTGGTGGTACTTGGACAATATTGCTCATTGCTCTTTCTGTTCCATCAGACAATTCAGGTGGGAAACGAAGACGCCACGATGCACACGCTGTTTGCAGATTCTTTTGCCACGCTGGGCAGACTGGACAATGTTACCTTGGTGATGGTTTTCCACCCGCAGTATCTCGAAAGCTTTCTAAAAACTCAGCACTATCTGCTGCAAATGGATGGTCCACTCCCGCTTCATTACCGACACTACATCGGGATAATGGTATGCAGCCAGCAGAAACAGCCACTCTGGAGCAGTCTCTGGTCTTGTTTAATAGCGCTTATTACTGTGTTTTGCAGTTTCTAGTTGGAAAGGCATTTCATCAGGAGCTAAGGGGAAAAGCAGAGTAGGTTTGTTTGTGTCTGGCTCACAGATTGTTTTATAAGATCAGCACTTATTCATAGTCTTGGTAGGAGTGTGAGAAAAAGGGGAAAAAATCTGTTATAAAAATTAGACAATTGTTTGTTATTGGTGTCCTTAGTATCTCAGAAACTGTTTCTCAGGAAAGCTTGTTTCTATGTGTGTGTGTCCTGTCAAATACACCTCCCCCTAAATCAGTAGTCAGTCCCATCATCTGTTTCTGAGCATCTAAATTCTAAGCAAGTTTTCTGCCAGAAGTGGTTGATTTCCAATCTGCCCATTCAATGACCTTTGCTTGCTGAAGTTGAATTAAAGTTTTGGGCCGCATCTTAATTTGATGCAGAAAATATTAGTGTTTGAATAAATGATAATGAGTCTGTCTTGGCTGAAGAGCTGCCTGTAGTCTCTCTTGCTGTATGTGTTCTAAAACCTGCTTTTGCTGGTAAAAATTCACCTAGAGACGGCTTCTGTCCCCTGGGGAGTATGATGCAGCATGCATTACTTGCTTCAGGACATATAATAAATCCATGCCTGTACTTCTCCCTGGGTATAGGCATGTTGCACCTGTAGCCAGCATAGTTATAGTGTATATGAATGAGGGATATTTATGTTGTGAGAACAATAATCAAAACAAGCTGATGTGTTCATCTCAGAAATTTTTTTTTACTTCAGCCTTTGATCACTGCAAGTGTTATTCTTGCATATTTTGAGGAAATGATGACTTATGTTACTTGTCATAAAGCACTTTCTGTAACTGTTTTCTGTATCACACTGTTTTCCTTTCTAGGCTGCAGCACGACATCAGTGCTCTTACCTTGTTAACCTCCATGTGAATGACTTCCTTCATGTTGGTGGAGACCCCAAATGGTTGAATGGTCTGGAAAATGCACCTCAAAAACTTCAAAATTTAGGAGAACTGAACAAAATGTTGGCTCATCGACCCTGGCTTATCACCAAGGAACATATCGAGGTAGGTCTTTCCTGAAGTAATGTGAATGTACCCTTTTTTCCAGTAATGCAGTTACAGATTCTTAGGATTAAGAGCCAGACTGGACTAAAGATGTTCTCTGTTAGTGACTTTGATTTCAGCGCTACATCACTGTGATATAGCATGATACAGTATCACTTGTGCCCTTGTAAAACTAATGTGATCGTGTGCCAGTGATCATAACTGCTCTTAAATGACTAAAATTTAATTTACAACACATTTGTAATTTGACATTTCAGAGTGTCATGTCGGAGTTCCATTGGTGCAATAACGATGTGCTCAGGTCTGCCACCTCCTTAAGTCATGTGCTTTCAGTAGCCTGAACCGCTGGGTATTTGAGATGCTGCCACCACATTTTTGCCTGGTTCAAATGCTGGGTTTTCAGGCTGGGTTGGAGGGAGCAGGCTGGCAGAGCTGCCCAGGGGAGCAGTGGTGGTAGAAGCCAGCCAGGACCACAGCACCAACAATCCACCAAGGGGCTGCTCCTCTGAGGGCCACCTAGACCAGCCAGCTCCGAGGGCATGTGCAGTGTGTGTGTGGTGACAACAGCTCTCATGGCCTGCCCTGGGCCAAGCCCTGGCTACTGGAGCACCTCCTCTGCTCTCTCTGTGCCCTGAGCAAGGAGGATGTGGGTGCTGAGACTTTCTCAGTGCTGCCTTGCCAGGCAGAGAGGTGATGGCAGGTCCTGCTGGGAGGCAGGGCACTGGGCTGTGCGGGAGGGCTCATGCTCTGCCAGAAGGCCCCAAACCTCCCACACTTTCCTGCCTGAAGGGGAAGTTGAGAGTTTGAAGCTTCTTGTCAAATCTAGAGCATTCCACCCCCAGGGACAAGATGGAGGGAGCCCGGCCCTGATGCCAGGTTCTTACACAGTTGATCTGCAAGGAGTTGCCAGGGTTTTCTGATACTGCAGAGACCATCTGAAGAAACATGCAGCTGTTGTGGTTGCATCTTCATTTGAGGTGTGAAATTTCAACGCAAGTCAGTCTGGCCTTGATACAAACCACACACTACAAAAGGGAAACCCAAACTGATTCAACTGCTGAGGACCAGAGAGGGGAGAGAAGTCATCTCCTTTGTGACTTAACCTTGGCAGGTCATCTGGTAACAGGATACTGAGCACATTAATGGCAGCAGAGAGTTAGGAAGCAAGATTGGATGTTGGAAAAATAATTTTACCTGGTAAAGAAATGTGTTGATCAGTTGCATTAAGGTGGGGGTCTTATGAATGACTTTAATACTTTTGTCTTGCATTACTTTTTAAGCAACTTTTAAAGACTGAAGAGAACAGCTGGTCCCTGGCAGAGCTGATCCATGCAGTTGTTCTCCTTACACACTACCACTCCCTTGCTTCCTTCACATTTGGTTGTGGGATCAGCCCGGAGATCGACTGTGAGGGGGGTCACACTTTCAGGCCCCCTTCCATCAGTAACTACTGCATATGCGATATTACAAATGGTTACCACGGGGTGGAGGAAATCCATGCCAGCCCAACTGGAAGTATTCCAGTAAGTATCTGTCTGAACAAACAATCTCTTTCTATAGTAGTAGTTTCTTTGTAAACTTAACACGTGGAGGGTGCCTGTCTCTTTTCATTCATGGGGAGTGGGATTGATGAGCCTAAACCAGTTGGAAA